GCAAACCCATCGGTCCTCTCTTTCACCCGACGCGTCGCTGTCTCCTGTCCCCGTTCCGTATGTTTGTGCACACGGTCGTGCTTTTTTTCTTCCGACCCCCCCGCCACCGCGCCGTTCGCTCTTTCCGCGCGTTCGTGCTCCTGTCGGCATCTATGGACTCTGATATGACGCCGGTGAAAAGTATTGTCTACTCGTCGAGCCATCGATCCGCGTGTAAATATTGAACGGCCAAAGGATCCGGGGGTGTGGAGGACGCGCTGGAAAAACGGTGCGCGCGAGGACGGACAAAAAGAAAGCCGGCGGGGACGGACGGATTGTCCTCGTTACGGAAACCCGACCGTATAGTCTTTCGAATGCAGATGAATTTAATGGAGTGCCGCCGCGCCGAACCGGAGGACACTTGGGTTCAATTAAAGGAAACCTCTTCGGTGTCGGACAGTGTTTCCTTTTATCGATTCCTCGCGACGCGCTGAATCGTTCGTTTCTCGCGACGCTGGCCTGCTGCGCGACAACCTTTCTTGTTTACGTTAAACATTCGCGCGTTTCGTACTTGTGGCTGTACGTCCTAACATTCTTTCCCCTTGTTTCCCAGTATTGCCCTTCCAGGAATAGCTCTCGCTATTGAACCGTGTATTGACGATAACAAGACACAGTCTTCGACTTGCTCCCGCCGCGCCCCGTCGATCCCGCGGGATCCTAAGGTAGAGCAAGGTACGCGACACGAAGTAGTTGCTAATTTGCCGAAATACGGAACAGTGCTTCGTGACGACGCGAGTATCCTGTAACAACCGGAATCGACGCGTTACGGCTCCATCCGAAGTTTTAACTCTTTGCGGACGAAGATTCTTTAAAGAACACAAATCTTCAGCACATTCGGCTAAATTATACATCGGATTCTTAAATTATGCACTGATCCCTTGCTATTCGAGTTATTACATCATTCGTTCGCAACTCAGTATTCGGAATATGAAAGTTTGATCCCAGCAAACGTCGACATTTGTCCGGAAAGGGTTAAACACGGCGTGTTCGATATGTGATTGTTAAACGTAACGATTAAAATTGAATAACATCGATTCGCCGTGTAAATGAAACTCCATCGACCGTATAAGTCTGAAGTGCGTCGCGTGACAGACCAGTATTCGGAATAAACAGGATTAATTAATATAATTCGCGATATTTTCCAAACGGGCACGATCGCGAGAATAAATAAACGGTTGATTCAAACGGAAAGTTGAGTGGAACGACGTGCAGCAAGATGTAGGCGATGCAGCGAGCCAGCAGCGGAATCAATGGAGGGCATCATGAGAGAATAACGCGCGGTAAAGCAGGTAAGGTTGACTAATTTATATATACCGTCCGATTCTGGTGCTAGGAACGGTAGCACGCGACGCGGGAGCAACAGAGAAAATAGGGTTGCCGGCGCGGAGGCGGCGCTTGTGGACGGCGCAGTTAATCTTTCCGGTCCACTAGACGGTCGGAGAATCCGGCAATTAGTTGGTATCCACTGCATTGTCTTTCCACCGCTCTCATCCCTCCTGATAGCTCATACAGGCACTTCCGGTTGAAGTCTCGTGGCTGCGTGTAACGCAGGAGGCAGATAATGTCTTGCTAACTGTTCGTAATTAACAGGTAGCCTATTGTTAGTCCGGTTGACGGTCCTTCGCTCGTTTAGACTTACCCCCAACCCTTTGTCTCTTGGAGATTAAAAAGGAAAACATCGGAGTCATTCTATTTGCGGGGCCGAGTTTCAATGCGTTTAATGAGTCACGCGAAATTCAAGCTTACCGGGGCGAGTGCGGAAACTTGTTCGCGATTGTACATACGTGTCGACGGTAATTGATGGTATTAACCCGGCGAGGTCGGAAAAATTACTCGAATTATCGGCGGAATGGTATTTTGCATTCGATTCCACGGACGAAACGCCAACACGCGCGGGAAATTAAGGCTCTCTCGGTTGATTAAAACGCTCCGATGATCGAATTCGCCCGCGGACGTTGAAAACGCTCGATTCTTTCGCGGACAAGAACGTGCGATCTTTACCGATTCGCAGGATGTTCGTTATTTTCGGGAACAATTCATTCCAATAGTTGAAACGTACAATCAAAATTTACAAAGACACAATTTAACCAGCGGAAATCGGATATGCAAGCAAAACTTTCGACGATGTAAATTCCTTCGTAAAGTCCTTCGATAATTACGTAGCATGTAATTAGTAGGAGTGCATATACCTGTAAAGATAAATCGTAAATATACAGGAAAATCGTTCGATAAAGCATTGTTTTCGAGATAATTGACTGAAGTATTCTCCACGCCGGCAATACCTTGTGGAAGTGGAAGTGGAAGTGGCAAGCCACGATCAGACACGTTAGCCAATTCCTCTAGAATACAACGGAATGCGATTATTCCGCCGAAAAACTTATTTCATACATTCTACTTATTTTGTCATCATGTATAACCACGAAAGAGATTGAACTATAAAAATTGGCGTTACTGTTCGAACTGAAACGAGTTAGTTCCTCAGTCTTGTGCGTTCGTTATTTCAGACATCCTACTTATTTTGTCATCGTATAACCGCGATATAGATTGAATTATAAAAATTGGTGAGTTCCTCCGTCTTGTGCATTGGAGCAAAAAGCGGCGATTCTGAAAAATTCCGTCGCAGGATGTAACGATCGAGCGCGTTACGTGTTTGCGTAGCGGAGCGGTCCGAAGAGCAGCGGTCGATTGGAAAAAAATCGTGCGTGAACGATTCGAGCGGCTCATTCGGAACGGGAAAGTTGATTCTTCGGTCGACCCGTGAACATCCGCCCTCCCCTCAATGTCAACATCGTCGTTTTCGCCTCCCACCAGCTGGCGTTGTTGATTTTTTCCGCCCCCGCCCCCACCGCGCCATCCAAACCGACACAGTTTGCGAACGTTTCATCGCACACGCCATTATAAAACGCGCCTCTGTTTGTTTTTCGCGCATTTCGCGAATCCGTATTTTTCATAGTACCCTCGTTCATTTGTTACTTTTCGATTAGCCTCGGCGCAAATTAAGCGCACTCGCGCGACCAACGCGAACACGCTTGTTCTCTGCGAGGGAGAGGAAAGCAACGCGTTTCTCCGTCTTCCTGTTTCCATAAGAAAAGACGACTGCACGAAAAAATTCACCACATTATTAATATCATTGCCAAGACTGATGAAAAGTGTTTAATCAGCGAAATTCCGCGGTGCATTTATAGTATAAAACGCAACCAGCGCGTCTCAAAGGCGCGGTTTTAATGAAATTGAGAGGGAAACCGATGCTCGGTTTGTCCAGTAAACATTAGTATTCATCGTTTAGGTGCGCGCGACATTTTCACGTGGTTTCCGGACAATTAACGGTGCCGGTAGCACTTTCCTCGGCGTCTCCTCCCGCGGGATGTGTTGTGTACGCGTTTTCTATTTCGAAATGTTATCGGGAAACCCGTACGTCGCACGCCGACTTAACTTTGTGCGAACTGATTGGAAGTGGACTCTATATCTATTTACTTCAGTGAAAATAATTTGCTGTTTATTTTTGGGAGTTCAGTAATACTCGTCAGCGGCGAGAGTCTACAACGACGTCTATATACTCCGTCTCGTGTGTCTAGTTCAAATTTTTCTTATATCTCTCGTCTCCGTACCTTGCGTAGGTTTTTATAAAGTGGGACTCAACCAGTGATTCTGGAGGGGGTTGTCGATTGTAGCCCCCGGGTGACCCACGCAAAGGTCCCGAGCGTTCTTGGCACTGACCATAGCGAGTAATAAAAAAGGATCGCCTCGACTTCTGGCAAACAGATGTAAGGTAAAAGTTACGGTAAATCTACAAAACTGGCAAAACGGGCCGAAGCAACTACGACTAAATTATTGAAGTAACGGTTCCTTGGGCTTTTATTTCTGCTATGGTAAAAATACTCAGGGCTCTAATGTGCCTCGCAGAAGGTGTCGTCAATAGCCCTCCTAAAGAGATTTAGCGACGCGACAGGATGCACTGCAAAAATTGTTGAATCGTTTCGCCCGCGATAATTGCAATGGATCGCCGAGCAAAACGCCATTACGGTAATTTCCGTGTACACAGCGGCGCTACGTTCTATGATCCGCGTGTAATACGATCGACAGAATGGAAAATACACAGGATCGGTGGCGCGCGCGCAGAGGAGAGGAGAGGAGAGTGAAAAAAAAAGAGAGAGAATTATTTGGACGCGAGGAGCGCGAGTCGTGTGCGAATGTCCTCTCGAATCGATGCGCGCCGCAGCTTTCTGTCGGTCGCGCTTACTTTTAATAGAAATAACATGATCAATTGATCAAACAGTGACCGATCAGCCGTGATACGGCCGTATAACGGAGCGATGCTCGCTGCCGGGGTAAAACACCGGGACACGGAGGGAACAGAGATCATCGCTCATTCGAGAGATCGTTCGCGGCTGCAACGGCGAGCCTAATGGAAAAGCACGGAACAAAACGCGAGCCGCGAACAATGCCGGCGAGAGGAAAAAAATGCTTTCTCCGCGTTGAAACGCGAGGATGATCGATAAACCCGTCGGAAGGCCTAACGTTTCCAGATTTCGGTTCCTTTGCCTCGCGAAACAAACCTGCGACTTTCTTTCGAGTTGATAAACTACCTTTTGACGCTTGAAAATCCACTAGAGGTTATTTTTCGAAAAGACCTTTCGAAGGCTTACTGCTTTGATTCGTTTACTTTGATAGGAAAGTTACTGCTCGAAAGTTATTGCAAGTAGAAAATTTGTCGTATCTTAACCCTTAGCACTCCAGGTTGTTTAGTAATCTATCAGCAACTAATTTTTATAGTATTCCTAGCGAAAATTAGAAATGCCATTTATTTCGCGAGCAGAAACTTGAACGCGAAAATCGAGAAACTACGAGCAAAATGTAAATCGTACTTCCAGTGCGTAATCAGGATGGATTTATGCGATAGTAGAATTTCCTGTTCCATCTCGAAAGAAGAGGAACGTTGTTCTACGCTGTTCGAAAGCGTTCGCGGTCACCATTTTTATTTGTTCCGAAGCGAGCAGAAGTTTCGCCCGATATAAGAAAAAAGGGGGCGAGAGGGGCGGGCTAACGTATAGACGGAGTCACGTAGTATTGCAGCCGGAACGTGCTTCAATCTTCGGGAGAAGTACGCATTGGCGTGCAACCCGCGAGGCCGATTCTTCCTCGAAAGTTTCCGTGAGAATTTTAACCACCGCCACCCGGCGAACTTCTCCCGGAAAATAAGAACGATCGAGTGCGACGCGAGCCGAACTTCCGCCGCTGATTAACGCTCCCCGTCCAAATTATAACGAGTCATTTCCGCGCTCGAATCAGCCTACTCCACGATGCTTCTCGATCGAGAATATCAATTACGAATTCGTTGCTGTCTTTAACGGAGGCGAGCTCTCTTCGAGATAAACAAATCTCTTTCTCTTGACTTATTACCTGTGGAACTCAGTTGTAGAAATTTCTATTAAAAAATAAATAAATAGATTTATTATAGATATACTATAGTAATTATATCAGAAACAAATTTGAAGTATAATATCACCGACTTTTTAATTATATTTCGAGTTTCCTTCGATCGAAGGATGCGGTTATTGATTTACTCGATACGCGTAGATGAAAACAATTTGAACGCTCTGTTTCCACGGAACCACCCGAATTTTTCATTTCAATATCCACCTGTGAATTATGAATGACTAGGCAACGACAATTCATTCATAGTATGCAGAATTCTATAAATCTATGAATCTTCAATCTTCGATACTGGCTTTTCTAAACCACTTTATATTTTTCTATTCCACTTTATATTAGTTTTAAACTGGATTCTTAAATGGACGCTCATTCTCCCGCATAAGCTATAAATGAATTTCGAAAAGACTCAAAAAAATACCAATTCCGAAATTAGTATAATCGAAGATACCGTCAACATCGTTACATCAATAAATCACACTCGGCAGTCCCGCATTGCAAGCACGAACGCCGAAGCAAAGAAAAATATGTACCGAACGTTATCAGTCGGCATTTTCCGTAGAATTCCAAAGCATCAATCGAGTGATACATTAGCAATTCCCGTCGCGTAATTAGGTTACACCGGAAGTACAACTGGCGATAAAAATATCCGTTCCCGTTTCGGCAAATTTTCCATTCCGAACGTGCCGCGACGACGCGCGACGGTGCAATGGAGGCGATGCCGGTTGACGGTAGATAAGGAGTGGCAAAAGGCAGAAATGAGAAATGCTAATGGCATTCCGTTCTCACCGCTATCATCTTTCACGGAGCACGGAGCCGGGGAAGACGCGCGAGAAAGAAAGGACGAGGGAAAGAGAGA